ACTTCTTACTTAGCGCTTCACCACACGTGAACTACGCTATGCAATAGGTGTTATTGAATATAACTCTTTCCTTGTAGTAAATTTGCGTTATAGACCTTTATATTCTAAGACGGGGACGACTACGATTGAGAACAATACTAAGTTGTGATCCGGCATGTGCCAGGGTCAGAGAGTCGTACTGACGCCGGGAAACAGATTCAGAGATAAAATGTTAGAAGTCTTATCATTTTGCAATCAAGTGAGGGCTTAACCCTTTAAACCCTAATATCAAAATTGAGATTCTCACTAACTGTCCCTATACTTTTTCAATAGAAGTAGCGGGGAGAATTTGTCGAAATATTAATTACACTCATCTTCCCTGATCTTGTACTCAATTCTCATGACCACTCTGTTTTCTAAAGCATTGATATTATACGGAGAAATTCGATGCTGATGACTCTTAGGGCTTATAGGGTTAACCTCCTTCAATAGAAATAACCGAGTCTTTTTTTTCTTGGATAAAAAATGGTAAAATGACGCTTTCTAGGGTGTCTTTATTTTTTGAGAAATCGCGAATAAAACGTTATCAAACTGTAGCTCGTCCTCGTTGACGTGGCCCGCACGCACTAAAAAACTCATCAGCTGTTAATAGCGCTCGCCTGTTTAGATAGTAATTTTTATACTTAAGACTAGCAAAGTTTCTTTCCTTTCACTCTTTTTCTTTTCTTTTTCTTTTTTTTTTTTCACTTTTCAATGCCAATTGTCAAAGGGGTGAAGTCAGGTTTTAACAAACAAAAGGACAACTTCAACTTCAACCTTCAGTGCTAAGGTTTTTTAGCCAGTGTTCCTGCCCAAATTGCTCGTGGTTTGTTAGTTTTGTAAAAAAACAAACAAACAAACAAACAAATTATTACACTTTACTTTGACAATAATGTGGACCGCATATTTGCAGTTTTTTTTCTTTGTCTATCTCATCTGTCCGTTGAACATAAGGCGGATCAATAAGTAAAACCGTTCTACAACAAACACTGAACTTTTTCAGTTAGCGGACGTTTTCGGTCCACTTGCTTTTTTGATGACGGCTTCACATAATTTACCGCGGACAGATATAAACTTGAGGTTCTTTCATAACCGATCATGTGGACCATGAACAAAAAGTATTTTCGGCTAAAAAAAAAATCTTAAAAAGCTGATAAAAAAAAGCAGAAGCTAACAAAAAGTAAATCAGTTGCTAATCACCAACCTTAGTAACTCCAAAATTGATGACCTCAAGATTTGCCGATCTCTATGGGTTTCAGTGTAAACTGAGTGAGCAATGAAGGAAATGGTCTTTGTCCAAAGAATATATTGACTTTTTTTTTCGTAATTTCGTAATTTGAAATTCTTACCTTATCAAGCCTCATGTGGAGTAGGATGCTTTTAAGTGAAAAAGACCAGAGGCGTTACTGACTTTTGAATAGCTCAACCAGCTACGTTGTCCACCTTTCTAGTCCGCCACCGTCTTTCGTTAACGGCAGGGGTCTTGAGAGGGTCGTATTGAAGAAAACAATGCACCGACTTGAAAAAAAAAAAAAACACTGGCTTGAAATCTCAACATAATGGATTGGCGTTTCCCCATGATTTCACAAATTAAAAAAAAGCAACAACTACTGTACATCTAAATCAAAAATCAATCATATAATTGCAACAATAAATTGCAATAAACAGGCTTGCCAGTTATTTTCAACGTGTCAAGCTCATTGTGAAAGTCACCTGGTTGGGTTTGAAGTTGCCATAAATATGTTACTTGTACAATGAAATATTAGTGTTGAACGTTTTTTTTTTTAACTGAAATTCTTTTCATAAAGAATTCTTGAAGCGGATCACTAAAAGCTCCTCCTTTCAAGAGGAAAAATAGAGCAGAGAGTCGGTAGTAACAATCGCACGACATGACGACAGCAACCACCTCGAATTTTGTTAAATTTCTGATAAAAATCACCTATAAAGCTACAATCACGTTATGCATGTAAACAATTTTGTGTGGCTAGCTTCCAAACAAATACAAGAATAGCCGGTAAGCTTATTACAAATATTATAAACCTTTGTCTTTATTCGACAATTGATTATGTGCTTTATTAAGGTCGAAAGCTAATAATGTATAGCGTTGATTTACTTTGTTTGTTTGTCAGTTGTTTCTTGTTGTTGTTGTTGTTGTTGTTGTTGTTTTTTTGCTAAACTAAACAACTTATGCAAAGACGGAGACATAAGGAGGTAAAAAATACGGTTT